GTGTTGCACCAGTCTTATTTAAAACACGTCTTGCTTTATTACAAACAACAGATCGAAATAAAATTAAAATTGAACAAGTACTTGCCGGTTTATCTCTATCTGATTTACAACTATCAAATACAAATCAAATAGATTCTAAAACTAATCAAAATACAGATGATATTGATGATAAATTAGTTGATACAGATAATCCTGTTAAAGAAGATAATATAACAAATATAAATATAGGTGAATTAACTATTGAAAAATGGTTACATCATGTATTAAAATCATGCTCAACAATAAAAATCATATGTTCACATACAGATGATATATTAAAACAAAATTGGCTTGAATTACATGAACAATTAGGTTTACCATCACTATTACCTTTATATTTTTTTATTATTAATGTTTTACTTGATGTTATGAATGAATGTTTAAGTCTTTATAATAAACCATATATGAATAATGATATTATTGAAATAGATCCACTTTGTCGACAACAAGTAATAAAAAAGAAATTATTGTTTTTTTTTTCATAATTTCTTTTTTTTTCCTTTTATTTCTTAGCTTGTTCGTGAAGCAAAACTTGTTTTAAGGTTCGTATAATAAAAAAAAAATTACTATTAAGATTTTTATATTTTATTTACTTTAAATAGAGATGCATTAGCTACACGTTTATATAGTGTTCGTATAATGGAACAATTTATTTCCAATCGTAAAATTGCTTATGAACTAACAGAATTTGATGAAAAAACTGTTAATCTTTATATGGTTCGTACTATTCTTTTTATGAATCATGATCTAAAAGGTTTCTAGAGAATTAAGTAAATTTATGATGAAGAAATTGATCCTAAAATAGATAGAATAAAAGAATCTCTTTGTTATTAGCAACCGGAGTTATTTTGTATTTCATATGTTACTTCTGCAAGGATTGCATTAATTTTTTTTTGTTTTAATATAAATTATATTTCTTTGTTTATTTTATATTAGCATTATAAACAATTTTTAAGTACAGTTTCTATTAATCGAACATATGATATTAATAATGATGGTCATCAAATTGCACTTAATGATGCTGATAGAGAATATTATTATTATGTTGATGAAGAAACATCAGAATTAATAAAAGAATATTATTTTGCTCGAGATCTTACATTAACATTAGGCAATCGAGATTTAATTCATGCATTGGGATTTCAATTTAAGTTTGTTGATAAAATTTTTCTTTTTTTTTTAAAATAAATATTTTCTGAAATATTTTTTGTTTTTAAGTGATCTTGTAAGAGGCATATTAGCACAATTGAAAGAAGAATTATATGAAACAACAGAAACATATTATCAAGTATTTGCAGCTGATACGAGTAATACATCAAATACGAGTGATGGACTTTATTCAGCTGAGTAAGTAGAAAGGATTAAAATATCATATTATTTGTTTTTTGAATAATAATGTATTGATTTAGATGATAAATTTCCTTTTATTTTTTTTATTATTCGAAAGTACACAACATGCTTAGTTTTTGACTTTAATGCTCGTAAATCATTGTATTAGTTCATTTATTAGATTTTAAAATTTTGTCATTTGAATCTTATTCAATTATTTATTTGATTCTTCTTAAATTATTCTAATCATATGAATTGTTTTGTAGACAACATAAAGCTCGTAGATCTTATTGAAAGATGTTTGTAATTGAGAATATTCAACTTTAAACATAACAAAAGTTAATGTTAAATGCAAATTTCGTATGTTTCTGTTCTTAATAGAAATCTTTATATCGAAATTCTATATTCTAAAAAGAATCTATTTATTGGAATAATAACTTATTGAAAATACTCGAGAATTTTAAATAGATTATTCCAATGATGTATCTAATTTTTAAAGTTCATAAAGATATTATTTAGATCAAATGAAAGAAGGAAAAAAAAACCTTTTTTTTTTCTTGATCATTTATTTTATATTTGTTTTTATTTTCATAGGGTGAAATCAGAATTTACAAAACCACCTTATTTTCACTCATCAACTAGTGTTCCAGGTGACTTTGCTCAAACAGAATTTTCTATGAGCGATGCAGGAACATCTTTTTCTGAACAGAAAAAGTAATATTTTGATAATTTAAATATTTGTATAAAATAAACTATTTTTATTTTTTAATTTATAGATGTGAAATAATCAATAGTACACGTGAATTTCGTCGAAGTTTTGATACAATTAAACAACGAACAATACGTATTTGTTCATTGGGTAAAACTCTTATTGATGTAAGTTTACTTAAGAATTTAATAATATCATTATAATTTTCTCTTCAAAAAATTCACTATGAATATTTTTCGGAATGTATTTTTATTTTGAATTTTTTTTTTTTTGTATAGGATTTTTCAATTGCAGCTGAATTTAGATGTCATAATTATCATGATCTATGGCATGGACTTCGACATAATAACTATGCTCAAGTTAAACTTTATTTAGACACAAGTGTAAATGAATAGTATTTTGTTTTTTGTCTTTTCTTACATTAATCTATTTTATAATTAGAGTTCAGATGATTTCGATAGTTTTTATTTATTTGTTCCACCATGGTTATCAACAGATAAAAATCAAGTCGAAAAATTACTTAATCTCATTTGTAGTCAACAATTACCAGCAGATGAATTAATAAAATCAGATAAAGATATTAAACCATCATATATGATATATATACCAAAGAAAACTTCTCATTTACATAATACACGTTGGGCCGGTGATATTATTCTTATTCGAGCAAGTGAAAGTACACAATTAGCATTAAATTCAACTGAATTACCATGTCTTCATTTGGTTGTTACACGATCTGATCATTGGCAACATGCTGTTGAGTTATTTCAATTTCATATTGGATCAAATAATAATATTCAATTTATTAAAAAATTACCTCGTGATGAAGATATTCGTTTCACATTCGATCAATTACCTGTTTGTATCATTTTGTTTTTCAATTAAGATAGAAAAAAAAATATAACATCTCTAAATCTTTTCTTTTCTTTCTTTTTTTTAATAGGAATATATTGATAAATTGGGTAATCAATTAACGCATCTTGTTCGTATACTTAATGCTATATGGGATCAAGATTCAATAAAAATTTTTCTCACTGAAATAGTTAAATTTGATGAACGAGAATTACGTACAATTGAATCAAAATTACTTGATCTTGTTTTCTATGTATATAATTCAGGTTTTGAATTATTTCGTCTTTTATATGATCTTTTACCACCAATGTCAATAAATGATGATAAAATATTAAAAAAATTTGTTAGTATGATGAATGAATTTTTTTGTGAATGGTGTAAATGTGTTACAAAAAAATTTAAATATACATCAACACAACAAGCTAGTACAGCGAAATATAAAGTTCTTAGGTAAATATTTATTTGATGAGAAATAAAAAAAAACACATAAACATTAATGATTTATTCGATAGACCAAGATGGTTTACACCGGGAATGATTTTTCTTGGTTTTTTGGCTAAATCTCCTCATTTACAATTATTAACTGAAGATGAATATAAAAAATTAATGACAGAAATGCCAGTTGCACTTAAAGCTTTACGTGGAAGTACATTGGATAATCGAGATTCATTTGTAACAAAAGGTAAATTTAATTTAATTGATATAAATAATCATAAAATAAAATAAGAAAATTAATTATTATTTTTATTCTCTATATCTATGAAAAGATAAACATTTTCTAAGTAATCATTTTTGTCAAATTCATAATATTGATAAGCAATGAGTAGCACTTTTAAATTCTTCTATACTATAAATTGTAATCGAAATGTCAAGCTTTATTTTTGACTAATAAAAACTTAGATTGATTTGATGATTCTTCTGAGAAATTCAAATTGTATTTATTCCTCAATAGAGTTTTTTTTTACAAGTATCTTTTTCTAAAGAAAATAGAAAGTACCTACGGAATAAATTGTAGAACTCTTGCTATATCGTTTCATATAAAGCATTTTTTTCTAATAGTTTCTGTCTTAGAAAAAGTATTTATGCTTTCTCAACTAAGAATGTTCTAAAAAAAAAAGTCGTGTTCAGTGTAGTTGGTGCGCATATTTTAGCACCACTCCAAACTCGATGAAACTTTCACAGAATGTTCTTTTTTTGTGTCTTACACGTCTACTTAGTTAGTATAAAGTTGCATAAATGCTTCTGAACTGAAATGCAGATTTTCTGTATTCTTTTGTCTAAGAAGTACTTTAAGAGAAAAATAAGGACATATTTGGAATTAGCACAAAAAATTGCATCGACTAATGTATCATTTGTTGATTTTTAACATAAAAATTTTTTCGACAAAAATTTAGAATAAGAGTCTCGTACATTTTACATCGAAAATCTTCTTTTATGAGTTTCACATTTTCTCTCAGCAATTTTTTTTATTGAGTATTGAAATTTAATATTTTTATGAGAAAAAAAAGGCGTTTTTGACAGAAAATAAGCTATGTCCATGTGGCCTATAGATATTTTCCATTGTACGGTCAGATATTATTCAATGGTATAATAGCTTATGTGCAATTCATTGTCAGATGAAGAAGAAACTATATCTCACACAATCGTTGCCTAGAGAGAAAATAATAATATTCTAAAATCAATTATATTGAGATAAAGAAAAATTAAATTTTGTTTTATGAGCATAAAAAAAAATTAGATCTCAATACCAAGAGATCATAGATAGAACCTTTTGTTCTTGGTCACGACATGAAATCAAACGATATTCAAATAGTATAAAATGCACTTTAATAGGTTTTGAACTTTCTTCATTTCTAAATCTTGATTTATTTTTGTCTAACTTCACTAAGAGCTTAAATTTAGCTATTGTTTTGTGCAATGTATGATATTTTGATAAATTGTTTGGTTCTGGATTCTACAAAACAAAAAAAAAATCGTTCCTTATCTTCTATTTATTATATTATTTTATTTGTTATAGCACGTTCAAATAGTGCATCATCAATACTAACAATACCTACGCGACAACGTAATCGATCGAATACAGGTAAATAAAATATTTCTTTTTAAAAAACGAAACTATCACAACTTTGTTTTTTTTATTATTTTTGATTAGGTGGACATCGACGTTTTGATAGTAGTGGTGGTATTCATGAATTATTAATGTCACCATTTATTAGTCCAATTGAACGTATACAACAAAGTATGGAAAAACGTGAACAAGAATTACAACAAAAACTTCGTGAACGTAAACAAATTGGTCAAATACTTAGTAGTAATAATACAACAACAACAAGTGGTACTACATTAGATCCTGTTATATCATTAAAAACACGTAATATTGATTTTCCTTGGCGTCGTGGTACACGTATTGGACAAGGTGGTGCTGGTGTTGCATTTCGTGCTATAAACTGTTCAAATGGTTCAATTGTGTGTATGAAAGAAATACAATTATCATCTATAGCATCTCGTTCATTACCAAGTACATATCCTGAAAAATTACGACGTATTGCAGCAGAAATTGAAATGATTATGTCAATTAATCATCCGAATATTGTACGATATTTTGGTATAGAAAAATATAAGGTAGAAAAAAGAAACAAGAGAAGACAAATCTATATAATATTTAATTGATTGATGTTATTTAGAGAACAATTTATATTTGTATGGAATATTGTTTATCAACAGTAAATGAATTTTTAAATGATATTCGTGCATTTCAAAAACGTGCACATAATAGAAAATCGAATAGTGGTTTATGGAGTGATTCAAGTGATCAAGATGATGAAATAAATACAGATAATGTACGTTTAGCTCCATCACTTAATGTAAATGAACTTGTTCGAGGTTTTGTTAAACAACTTTTACAAGCATTATTAGCTTTACATGAACATTGTATTGTTCATTGTGATGTTAAAGGTGATAATATATTTATTGCCAATCAAAATGGACATTATATTGTTAAATTAGGTGTATGTTTAATATAGAATTGATATTTAAAAAAAAGAAATACATATGTGTTTTGTTTTTTTGGTTCTATTAGGATTTTAATTTATCCCATCGATTGGAATTAGAATCACGTTCAGCAAATGATAGTGACTCACGTAGTACACAATTTGGCACTTTATGTAAGAATTATGGAGTGAATTTTTCTATTAAAAACAGTTGAAAGATATTTAAATGACTATCAATATAAAAAGTCATGAAATATTGTTATTAGATATTACCGGATGAGCTATAAATATCTTCAAGATAAAAAAAAAAATTTAATAATTTCTATTTTGCTCGAAGGTGCTAGCGGACTAATTTTTTTAATCCCTGGTAGAGAAGTGTTCGATATAGTTTTTTTAGAAGAAAATTATTAATGAACATAGCTTTCAATTGTTGACATTTACTTAAATACATATTGTAATATTTCACAGGTATGAAAAAACAGAAATGTAAAATAAATTATGCATATTTTTATAATCTAAAAGTCGGATAATAGCCAGAAAAGTCGAGATAAGCTCGATAAAAATACTAAAAGTAATAGAATAAGTCAATACAAATATTCAAAATGATGTTCATGACACATCAATGCATCATTGCGATCTTTCAGGATATAGATATCAGAAAAATAGAAGACCTACACTCAGTTCAATATTAGAAAACTGTACATTTGATGTTACTTCAATATTAGAAAAATGAATTCCGAATCCTAGAACGAACGAGTTGATCAATTATATGTGTTGGAAAAGGAATACATACATAAATGAATCTGTTTATGTTATTTTACATCAGTATAAAATGTTATACTACTGTATTGAAGTGAATTTCGACAATTGAATGCAATGTTCGTTAACAATGTCCTTATAAAAGACAAAAACTGTGAACACTCCTCTGTCATTGATAAAGCAATCACTCCGATACTTTCAAGCAGAGTAGAGATATTCAAACTTTTTATTGTAAAGATGTTTACGATCCATTTTCTATACTCAAAGATTTTCAAAGCACAAGGATTTAGAAATCAAGCATGTAGAGAAAAAGAAAATTTGACAATAAATTAAAGTAAAAATCGATATCCACCATTGATAGATAGACATCAATAGTTGAAAACGTAAATGGTTACTATCTTAGACAAAATCGTAAGTGTAATATAATCAATGAACAATTATTTTGAGAATATTTCATGAAACATTATAAACGAGTTTATCATTTTAATAAATATATATATATATATTCATTTTTTATTTTCCTCTAATAGATTTTAAACCACCTGAACCAGAATATGTATATCAATCTGATATTTGGGCATTGGGTTGTACTGTCATTGAAATGCTAACTGGCAAAGTAGGTTAAAAAGTTTATTAAAATTTTTCAATATAAAATAAAATATATATTTTTTCTTGATATATTAGTTACCTTGGACCAATGTAACACGACCACATGAAGAACGTATATATATACAAAATCAATTATTAGCTAAAAAAGGTCCACCTATTCCAGATGAATTAAAAACAGAACATGAAGCATATGATTTTATTCAATTGTGTTTAACACCTGACGTTAATGAACGACCATTAGCTAAAGCATTACTTGATCATCCATATCCACGTGTTCGAACAGGTAAAATTACAATTTGTTTTTTTTTTGAATTTTAATTATCATTCTCTTTTCTTTTTCTTTTTTTTGAATTAGATTCTTAATTGGTCATGTTAACTAATCTGTATATTTATAAATATATTTAATCAGCAATACATATTGTAAATCTAGAGACAAAAGCATTTTGGTTTTGGGCTATATTTTCTTCTTTTTTGCTTGGTTAGATATTAATTTATTATTTTTCTTTGTGTCTTTGCTTTATACTTAATAAAAACTAAACATAAGAGTATAAAATGAATGATCATTGGAGTATAATAAAAATTCTTTAGATGTATTCTCGTTTATTTCGTAATTTTTTGCCTCGTTATTTTCATAATAAAACACGTTTACCTGAACTTGATTTTACTAAACCAATAAGTGATCGTTTAAGAAAAATTTCTTTAAAAGAACAAACATATACAAATAATAATGATCAACAATCATTATTAAAAATTTCACTTCATGGTCAATGTCTATTTGGTTTATATCCAATTGAATTAGCACTTAAAAGAAAACAACGTCAATTTTATCAATTATTTCTTAGTAATACATCAAATGATAATCGTCAAATAATACAAAATATTCAACATTTAGCTGAACAATTATCAATACCAATAAAATATACAAATACAAATACTCTTGATCGTTTATCATTTGATCGACCACATCAAGGTGTTTGTCTTGATTGTTCACCATTACCTATTCAAGATATTCAACAAATAGAAATAGAAAGAAATTCAAATAAAATTTTTCTTGATTTATGTCTTGTTAAAATTCATGATCCAATGAATTTAGGTGGTATTATTCGTACAGCACATTTTTTTGGTATTGATAGAATTATTTTAACTCATGGTACATGTCAACCATCACCAGTTGCTAGTAAAGCTAGTTCAGGTGCACTTGAATTAATGTCAATTTATGCATGTAATGATTTAAACACTTATTTAAATTTATTACATAAACAAAAAACTATTGCTATTATTTGTGCTACACATCATGGAAATATTCCATTACGAACATTACGTTTAGATGATATTAAAAGACAATTTTCTACGTCAAATTTACAACGTATTGTTGTACTTATTGGAAATGAACATGAAGGAATTTCTAAAGAAATAACTCAAATGTGTCATTATAATATATGTATTCAACCAAATATTGAAAGTGAAATATCATCATTAAATGCATCTGTTGCTTGTGGTCTATTTTTGTATCATATTTCCGCACAAATGAATACATAGAAAATATAAAAATAGATAAAATGTTCTTTTTTTGTTTTTAAAAAGTTAAAGTCGTAATAGGATAAAAAGCTTTTTTCTTTTTTGTTTTTAAATAGTTAAAGACGGAATACGGTAAAAAGCTTTTATCAATGCTTTTATATTATTTGCAGCACATATGTTTCTTAATGAAACATTCAAAACAAAAAGCTCAATGCTTCATTTCTTTTTGTGTCGTCTTTCTATTTTTAAAAGCAAAGAAATAACTTGATTTTATTTTGAATTTTTCAATGTACCTGATATAAATATATTTTTTATTTTAATTAAACAAAAAGATAAAAGGATGACATTGAAAATTTTATGTTGTAAGGTGTCATTGCTTGTTTTTTTTTATTTAAGTCAATATCATTGAGTGCAAAAGCGTTTAAATATAAGGATTCTATGCCCTTACTAAACATTAAAATGAGGTCAACAGCTTGAGGCTTATTCAATGTTGCGTCAACAAAATCTTTCCTTTTGGTATGTTAATATTCCATAATATAATATTTTATTACACATATGACAAAATATCATACAAGACAACAACCTACGCAATTAAATTTCCTTTTCGGTTTATGATTTGTTCAGCTGTTCAACTAAATAATAATGAATACATACACCATGTCAATTTTAATTAATTTAAAAACAAGTGTTGATATTTTTGCATACAAATAATAATGACATCAAATGATTTGTACCAGAAACACAATGAATTTAGCTTTTTTTTTTTATTACTTTTTATAAATAAGAGAAGATAAAAATTTAATAATTAAACAAATAAGAAGAGAATATCTTGAAAAAAAAGGAAAAGAAAATTAGTTTGTTAGTTTTTATTTTTATCATTAAATAAAACAATCATGTCTATATCCAAATTGACGTGTTAGTTTAATTGTTAATGAAAATTGTTGAAACTAACGTAAAAAGAGCATAAACTTGAAAGTTAGATTTCAGAAACATGTTCAATTATCGGACAAGCTCATCATCTTTTCTATTATTCAACAACGAATATTCTTTGATAACTAGAGTATGGGCATCAATTAGAAGATTTTAGTAGTTCAAAATTTAAATGTCTAGAGAAAAAAAAAGCAATTTTCAAGGCTAAATCATCAAGCTATGAATAATAATAACATGATCAAGGGATCGTGAATGGCAAGGGAGTGCCCTAGAATCTTGCTGAAAGCCATGAAATATAGTTTTTAATAATAGTAATTATTATGTTTTTTTCCCTTCTAGTGGTAGAGCGTCGTCCTGTCCAACCCATTCTTACTTACACCACTAATGAAAAATAGTCAAATCACAAATAATATTTTGTTAAACAAAGACTGTTGGCTAAAAGTTTAACAAATACAATCCAAGGTCTATAAATACTTCACGCAAATTATGCTTATCAAGTTCTATAATGTAATCAAATCAATACAAGAAAATTCTCATTGAGTTTTAAGAAAATTCAGACAATTTATGAAAATTATAGATTTATATTTTCCAAAGTTTTACAATCTAATATGATGATGATTAGTATTGTATGCATGATAAAAGATGACTTGAATGCATAAAACTTAAATTTAATGACAATAAAAGTTTGTTTGTTTTTTTTTTGAAGAAACATATGGAAATGTACTAGATAACATACGTTTGTATTATTTATAATGCCATTCAATGATGCTTATTTCTTTTTTTTATTAATAGAATTTACTGAAGATATATTTCCTTTTTGATAGAATGTAATTTTATTATATTGCATCCACTCAAGCTTAATTTAGATCAAAATATCTAATGGAAGATTTTTGTATGAAGAGTGCACTATTGCATGTGGGCAACGAACATGTTCTGAAGTAGATTATTTATTTCGTTGATAAATATAGATAACATTAAATCTTGCTAAGAAATGAAATAGTTCTTGAAATAATACTAACCATCGAAATATATGTTAGTATACTTTGCATTCAATTATTTTTATAAAAAACAAAAATTTTGGTTTTCTAGTTGTTCATTTAAGATTAATATCTTGATTATTCAAAGTTGATAAAATTTGAAATCGTAAATAATATCTTACTATTGATGAACTTTTCCTTATCAGTCAATCAGTACTATAATCGTTGTTTCCTTTTCCGTTTTTTGTTTTAATCTACCATGAACTAGAATACCTATTTTCTTTGTTGCATTCATTGGAGTTATTCATACCGCATCAATAATCTTCTTTTATTCGTATCTTATTTTGCTTAATAATATATTTGACCTTTCATAACACATTTTTTTCTGCTTTTTTTTTGACTATTGCTCATTATACAAAGTAGGAATATGACACATAATAATTTGATTAGAACATCATGTTAGATTTATTTCTCATGCATAAGAAGAAATGTAGGTGTATAATATAGAATATATGACGCATGAAAAAAAAGACAGAAAATTAACAACGGTTCGTTCAAAAATTTTGAGATTTGATTAGTAATTCGTTTGATTGTTTTAATATATTTTTACAAAGATAGTTTTATATTTATTCTCTATGTAATGCGTTGAAAATTGATTTTTAAAATCATTATTGTCTTATCAACTTTTAACTCCGATTTGTATTAATCTTAAAACAGCAAGTTTTATTATTAATCACCAAATTGTGTCATACAATCCATCTAAGCATTTCATTTAGGAGTTTTTGGATTAGTATTTGATTTAAATAACTGTTCCAACTTAAGAAAAACAATGTATAATTTACTGTAGACATGTCGATACAATTATAACATAGTCAATTTACAGAAGTTTTGATACATTCATATTTCGGTGTTGGAAAATCTATTATTTACAATTTTGTTTTAAGTATCAAATCTTCTTTTTTATAAAACATTTTTTTTTTGTTGATGAAATTGTACTTTTCATGAGAAGTATATCAGAATAAAAATAATTTTATGATGATGAAATAATCATTAATGTGATTTCATTATACATCACTTCTTTTTCAGATAAATTACATAACGAAATGTGCACATGATGTTCGTGTTCTTTCACATGATGCACTTGTGCAATTGTATTGTTTTTACTCGAACGATGAAAGTTTATCACTTATACAAACTATTTTCATTTAGTATATTATAAAAAGAAGTCTACGTGTTAATGCATAATAGCAATTAGTGTTGAAATTTTAAAAATATTTCTCCGATATTGTTATCCTATAATAATGATATTCTTTGTACGAATTCTTATTATAGAAATCATATAAAACAAACAAAAAAGAGAAATTAGAAATAAATTATTTTTTAAATCCTCATAAGAATATTCACATAGGAATATACTTATTCCCAAGGATATGAATATAAGAAAAAGAAATATTCTATGAAATTATATCACATACACTTATATATTACTTTCAAGTTTTTGACTATTTTTTTCTTTTTTTGTATTTCCTAGATGAATATTTTAAGTGCACTCAAGATGTTTTGTTTTATGTTTTATATCAAAACAAAAAAAAAAAATAAAGAATTCATTTGAAGATTGTTTTGATTTGTTTAGAAGAAGAAAAAAAAGTTGATTGCCACTGACAGAATATAATTATCACTTAGCATAGCCCATTTCTTTATTTAGAATTCATCGAAACAAAAAATTAATGAATAAATATAATGAAAAATTTTATTTCTCGTTCAATAAACTAATTTTTCTAGGAAACAAATTATTCTTCAGATATTTCACTTCTTTGACAAAAATATGATAGTATTAAGTCAAACTACATCTGTAAAGTTTCTATAGGATACTTAAGTTATTTTGTGTTTTCTACATCTAAAGGACACAATGAGAATATGTCTACGATATTAGATTGCAATGATATTTGAGTCTCATTTAGCAGCTATTCATATGGTCATATCAATTGCGTTGTAAATATACAATTGTTTGCAAGTTACACTATTATGTTTATGTCAAAAACTAAGTAATCTTAATAAGCTTTTTAATCAGACGAAAGTAAACATAAATATTTGAAAATAGATAAGATGTTGGTATAGATATATAAGAATTTATTGGCATTTTTCTTAAGTATCTTTGTTTTTTTGCCATAGACATATCTGTTATACAACAACTATCGAGAAATAAGATGATATTCTCTATTATTGTTTTTGCCAGGTTTGCTTTTTTATAATTCTTCAGTTAAAATAATATGCATATTAAGACTTTTATTTTTCTTTAGAAATAAAAAAAAAATACAAGAATAAATTGATACATATATTGTCATGAAAAATAATCATAGAGAACGGTAATCTCTTATTTTCTTCATTTGATTTTTCACGTATATCTTCGATAGTGAATATGTTTTTCTCCTAGGAAAAATATTATGATTGATTAGTTTGGCGTATGATGATGATGATAGAAAGACTTCTTTTTTCTCTCTTTTTTTTCTTGTTTGTGACGGATAGATATGCTTTTTTATTTTTGCTCTTGTAGCAATGCATTTATAATCATATAAGTTTCTCTAGTAAAAAGAAAGAGAAAGAAGAATCAGAAAGCAAGTAGTCGATTGTTATAGAATGTCTCATTATTTTTGTCTCTCTTTTATAAAATGCATATTCACAATGACAATTCATCATTGTCGTAAACCCATTAGTATTTGATATATGGACGCACATACCCGGTAAGTTCTTTGTTTCGAAGGGCTATTTTTTTTCCTATTTTTTATTCCTCATAGACTTACTCTAATCGATCTAAGAAAAGTAATAAGCATTTTATATATTAAAATACTTGTAAAAAGATGCTATTAATTCAATTGATGATGTTAATTCCTTAGAGAAACAGTCGGACAAATAACATCATCAGTATTAGTTGATCCAGCATTCGTTATTATGCTATCGACATCGATGCAATGTGAGAATATGGAAAATGGTTTCATATTTATTTTATTGAAGCATCAAGTAGTTCTCTACAAATTATATTTTATTGAGCAAAGTAACAAGAAAGTAACATATTTATAAAGTTACTTTCACAGAAGGAGGAAACCTTCTATCGTT